TAAACCAAAAAAAAAAAAAAAAGGAAATCTCAAGAGAAATTAGAATCCAGTTTAAACCAAAAGAAAATATATTAAAATCTGGGGCCAGCAGGTGGTCTGGTGGTTAAGGGCGCTAGATTCCCACAATGGCCAACCTTGGTTCGAGATCCAAACCTGGCAGCTTGCTTTCTCACTTTCCCTCTGTCTCTCTGTCTGTCTGTCTGTCTCTCTCTCTCTCTCTCTCTGTTCCTCTCTGGTCAAATTAAAATAAAATAAATAAAGATAAAATAATTCTTTTTTTAAAAAAAGAAAATATATTAAAATGTAATGGATAGGGGCCAGCAAATGACATAGTGGTTACATCCTTGGACTCCCACGTGGCTGACCATTATTCAAGTCCCAGACCCTATGATTTGGAACTCACACCAGGTATATGTACATGCACGCTCAAGATCTCAGGAGAACAGGGAGGGGATTGCGGCATAGCCATTCTCCCTTGGGGGTGTTTTCCCATTGTCTCTGTCTGTCACTCTCTTTCTCTGGCACACGCACACACCCTAAGACAAAAACCTCCTTAAAAAAAAAAATGATGGATAAAGCAAAAGTTGTGCTTAGAGGGGAATTGACAGCATTAAATGCTTACATAAGCAATGACGATAAACCTGAAAACCTTACAAGTTCTGAGATTTAAGTTATACATGCTAAGGCAACTACATAGATGGTGCTCAATAAATAAATGAAAAGAACAAATGAACAAAGTGAATAAACGCACAGACAATAACTAGACAAAATCCCCAAATCAATCATTACAAAGGCCTGAAGTATAATCCTAAATTGCTTTTTCAACTCCATGAAATAAATGAAACTCCTGTCCACTTGCTCTCTGGGACAGTCAAAAGCATGATCTTTAATTAGCAAGAGCTAGAAAGCAGCAGCTCTAATCTAAATCTAGTTAACAACTTTTCGTAACTGTGCCAAAATGTCATATGTAACAGTGGCACTTCCTCTTTATTAAGCAGAATAGCTGACTCCAAATAGAAAACACCCATTTTTCTCACGCTCACCCACATCTGTTTACAGTCCAATCTAGTGTCACCAGGAATCCCCATGTTTGTCTGCGGGCAACCCTTGCCAGTATTTTCAGGTCACAGGACATGACTCGATAGCTTGAGATTGCTTCACATGCTGAGGTTTCCTCATCTTCCTGTAAAAATGAGTTTCTACACAGGCACTACCTTCACCTTGATGAGCACAGAGGAGGGAGTGAGGGAGAAGGGAGAAGAGAACCGATACCTATTAAGCACCTACTGTCAGCCAAGGTACTTCACACACATTGTTTTCATTACATTATTTCAACAGCTTGTGAGGAAAAGTACTCCTGTCCCAAAGTACAAATGAAGAAAAGGAGGTCACTGAAATTCAGGCATTTCCTACCACCAGCACCTCAAAATGACAATCAGGACCACCTACCTATCAGGAATTTTGTTCAGCAGCATATGTTACAGAACATTTAGCCCGTTAACACCGGGATTAATGTTCTCTAAAGTCCCTGCCAGCTCTGATCAACAAACTCTTGAGCATTCTCACTGAGCAAGGAACATGCAGAGCTCCAATTTCCAAGCTCCTAGGACCAAAAATAAACCCATGTACATTTGTGTTTCTAAATCTGTAGCCTACAACGAGTACCACTTTGTTGTGATAAATGATGCAAAACCTTTAAGCCACGGGGACAGGAACTGAGTGCTGCCTCTGTGACTTAACCACACCTACGTTTCCCATTTAAGACACCAACAAAACATTTTCAACTACTTCCTGCAAGATTAGTTGCTTCTGAAATTCTGGCTTCAGCCACAAATGTGACCCCCCAAAGCACCCCAACTTCTTTCAGATATGCTTTTTCCTCCATTCTGCTGGAGCTCACTTGGCAGAATGCGTTTTTTGAGAGGTAGTGAGGAAGGGAGGGCGCAGATTAAAAATAAACATAAACACACAAAGACATACAAATATTTTTAAAAAGTGAGAATTGGGTGGGCCTGCCTTCTCTGATGAAAACAACTACGACCCCAAACAGGTCCCAGGTTTATTCTTTTAAAAGGCAAAAAATGAAAAAAGGGAAAGTAAAGCCAGTTGTTTTCGGATGTTAATCGGCTAAAGATACAAAGACCACTGGCACCATATAGTTTTTCTGGTCTTTTAGGCCCAATTCTGATAAACACATGTGGCTTTCGTTAACTCAATAGTATCCATAACAACAGACAGCTAGCCTATTCACATGTTAATTGCTTTCATACCCTATAAATGACTGCTCACAAAATCACATTTCTATATGTGTCTAAAGGTTACCATCATCGCTCAGATTGGCCACTTTCCACATTTTTTTTTAGAGAGTTTTTTTTGTCATAGGGTGCGTGCTCATCAGAGACAGAAAGCAAGAAATCACCCCTGGGGATGGTGGCACCGCAATCCCTTTTCCTCCATTCTCTTCTCAGGCTTTTGGGCACATGCATCTGGTGTGAGTTTTAAGCCGCTGGGTCCAGGACTCAAACCACAGTCAACTACGTGGGAGTCCAGCAACATAATAGTTACGCCATCTGTTGGTCCCTCGCAGATACACTTTATTGGCTGAAAGATACCTGTTCATATTTACATGTTCTTAATTAAAATATATGTGGTAATCATCAGTAGCAGCTCCTGCAAAATGGCACATCTCTGATGTATTGGGGGGTCTTTCAAACCTAGAGTAACAATCGCCAAACTTCCAAAACTTTTATTTAAGGGCTTTTGAGCGCACACTTGTATAAATGTATAATGTAAGGAGTAACAAGAAAAAAAATTAAGTTCACTTCAAATATTTTCTTTGTGCACCCCACTGGACAATCTGAAACAGTTTTCTTTGTAGTTTACTACCATAGACCACAGGGGGTGTCAGACAACATAGACCACAGACCAGCTTTGAGGAGTTTTTGTTTGCTTCTTAAAGGCATGTAAGTGTGGGGCCAGCAGGTGGCAGCTGGACTCCTATATGGCTGACTACGATTTGTGTCTAGGACCTGGCCACTCACTTGCGCGCGCTCTCTCTCTCTCTAGTGAGTGCACATGTCCTATAGCAAAATTAATAATAATAAATAAAATTAAATAAATATTTTTAAAAGGCATGTAAGTGCTATTTTTTTTTAAAAGTTAAGTCAGAAAAAATTAAAAAGCCTCATTTAGGATGGCAATCAAACAACGAAAGAGGGGAATTCCTAGTGCTTAAAGCACTCAGCCAAAATCACTGAAAACTATCAAATCAAATGACAGATGCCTAGGCAGACAGGCCAGTATCTACAGGTGATCTAAGGCCTTTAGACCATGGAAGACTGATGTCACTTGACTCCATGGTCACCATCACAGCCAAATGGCAGGAGCATCTTCTTTTACTTACTGTTGTTGTCATCACCATGACCATTTACTGAGTGTCACACTTGTACATTTAGACACTATGACAGGCATTTTTACATACACAACCTCCTTGAATCCTGGCCATCCTGCAGGAGGGGTATTAGTATGTCCATTGCAAGAGGAAATTGGTCGGCATGTAACCTGACCAAAGTCACACTGCAACATGAAGCAGAAAGGAATTTAAACTCTACACTGCTGCGCCTTCTATTGGTACAATAATCTGCACAACTGTGTGTTTAAATACTAACAATCTGATACTGTATGTTTTCTTAATGAAATAAAAACAAAACTTTCACCATTTTGACTTTTAAAAAAACAAAAGTGGGCCAGCAAGTGGCATGGAGGTTGGGGCAGCTAAATCCGACTCACCTGCAGTTTGAGTCCTGGACCTGGCAGTTAAAAAAATCATGCCAGGCACATGTGTGTGTGTGCCCAAAGTCCTGAGAGGAGAAATGGAGGAGAGGAGACTGCAACTAGCCATTTCCCCTTGGGGAGTGATTTCTTACTTTCCCTCTCTTTCTCTGCCGAGTACCCAAGCCCTGTAACAAAAACTGAACAAACAAACCATAAAGTACAAGAGCAATTATGTCTGAAGTGTAGGATTATGGATAACCAATCTCCATTATATTTTTCTGTATCTTGTTCTAGTTTTAAAAATAAATACATGCCAGGGCCAGCAGGTAGTGTGGTGGTTAAGGTGCTGAACTCCCACATGACCAACTATGGTTTGAGACCCGGACCTGGCAGCTTTGCTTTCTCACCTTCCCTCTCTCTCTCTGGTCAAATAAAATGGTAATGATAATAAATAAATAAAATAAAATAATTCTTTAAAAGATAAAAATAAATACAGGCCTATGGGGCACAGCCAGTAGCATACCAGATAGAGAAGCTGGAGGCCACGTTAACTATGGCTTAAGCTCCTAGCATGGCTGGCCCGAAAGCACACCAAGTGTATATGTGTATCCAGGATCCTAGTAAGCTGGAAAATGAGGATCACGGTTAACTGAGCCCCACAGAGAGTACTTCTGTACTTCTCTACCCCTTCCCATGCATACATATGTGCACATACTCTATTATGAACAAAAAATAAATTCATAATTTTTAATGACAAGTGTTTAATTCAGTTATCTGAAAAATTTTTAGACCCAAGGAGTAAGAACATAATGAACACCAAGTTCCTATCAACTGACTTTAACAGAGCCCTGTTTCTCCTATATGCCAACCCACTTTCCTTCTACTCCCTAAAAGTTATTTAAAAACAAATCCCAGATGCCGTATCACTTCATCCAGTAAATACTTAAGTTTATATCTCTAAAATAAGTAGTTTTATTTTTTTTAAAAAAGAACACCACAAAAACATTATCACAACTAAAAAATTAACAATACTAATTACTTTTTTAACCAGAAAAAAAATGTTTAAGAAAATAAGATATTTGAAAAAAAGAAAGTGCTCACTGGCTAAACAGCTAGAAGAGTCAGTCTCACTAAACAGGTCCAGCTGTATAGTCACTCCTCCTTTTGGTTACAAAAATAACCAGCAAAAATGACTATTTCTAATCATCAGTGCTTCCAGAGTTTACCTGTTGAGAACTGCTTCCTTGTCTCCGAGACGACTTTTAATCTTACTTGTCAGATAGTCCAAAAAGAGCGTCCAGATATCCAAACAAGAGAAGTAACCTTCATGAGTAGGCTATGGTACAAAAGAAATCCAGACAATGAATTACTTAATGCAACTATTCCTTAGAAACACAAACACCAGTGTTTACTTACACCAGAATGGTAAAACCGTAAGCCTAGATTCCCTCAGTTTTCTAGTAACCATGAGGGTGGCTTTTAGTTGGTCTTCACCACTGAGCCCTATTGAACTCAACAAGACAAAGGTACCAAGAAACACATCATTAGGGAAATACTAGTGTGGGCCAGACAGAGTTATAAAATAAGCCAAGCAACAGCCTATCTTAAAATCTTAGACTGCAGTGGAGGGAGCTCTTACAGATCATCCCATTCAAATCCATTTTAGAAAGATGAGAGATCTGAGTTGCTCAAGGATGGGGAGAAGCAGGTTCCTTTACTCTCAAGACAACATGCTTTCCACTACAAACTTTACAATACCAAAATAAGGGTCAGTGTCTCCAAAGGTAATGAGTTTACACATCTGAATATAAGGAAAGTAACATCTGCAGTCTTCCCATGTAACAGACTGAAGATGAGCTTAAGTCAGATGCTTAGGGCATTATCCCATATGCAAAAGTAGGAGTGTTGAATAGGCTAACAGCAACCTCTACTCTGGTGTGAATGAGGACAAAGTGAGAGGAGCAAGCCTTTGTAAGGTCTGGCACCTGGACCATGTCCAGCTAACTTTCTTAAGAGCCTTGAGAGTCTATTTCATGCAAAATTCAGGCACTATACTCTAACATCTAGTCCTTCCGTACATTCAGCTTCAACTTGTGGTCTCCCAATACCAGAAAAATCCATTCAAATTCCTACTACTCCCAAGAACCCTTTGGTTTTGCTAATGACTGCTTTGTTGAACAATATATTTGATAGCAGAACCTGATATGTAAAGAAATGGGACCAGCAGCTGTCATAATGGCTATGCTGCTGAACTCCCATGTAGTCGACCACAGTTTGAGTCCCGGACCTGGTGGCTTAAACTCACGCCAGGTGTGTGTGCATGCATGCCTAAGATCCCAAGAGGAGAATGGAGAAGAAGGGACTGTGGTATAGCCATCCCCCCGGAGGGGTGACTTCTTACTTTCTGTCTCTCTGTCTGTCTCTTTCTTTCTGGCGAGCACACACACCTTATAGCAAAAACCTCTCAAAAAAAAAAAAAAAAAAAAAAATCAGTCATCCTTCCTTGGTTTAAAATGCCTACCATCCCCCTCAAAAGAACACAACTGATCAGATATATGTGTGATTGCTTTTGAGAAAAACCACAACACAAATTCAAGTTGTATGGATCATCCTCATGCCTTTAAATTAAGGGTTTACTATTTGGCTCAAAGGGGGGAAAAAAGCTGAGCTGACACCCACTGTACAACCTGAAACCACCATTCACATGTATACCTACAGGCCCCACCATGAAGTCTTGTTTCTTATAGGTTCCTTATGATCTGCCCCTTGACAACAGCTATGGACATAAGTCATTAAAATCATAAAGACTTTTGGAGACGCCTGGTTTTTCAGAACCCTCACAGATGCTTTTTTTTTTTTTTTTTTTAATTTTTTGAGAGAGTTTTCTTATTACAGGGTACATGCACTCACCAGAGAGAGAGAGAGACAGAAAGCGAGAAATTACTCCCCTAGGAGGAATGGCCACACTGCAATCCCTTCTCCATTCTCCTCTCGGGATTTTGGGCACACACGCACTAGTGTGAGTTTTAAGCCACTGGGTCCAGGACCTGAACCACAGTCTAATATGTGGGAATCCAGCACCATAACCATCATATCGTCTGCTGGTTCCCACAGATCCATTTTTTGGGGGGAGTGGGGGAGGTGTTTGCTATAGGGCATGTGCACTCACCAGAAAGAAAGAGACAGACAGAGAGACAAAGCAAGAAATCCCCCGGGGATGGGTCGCCACGCTGCAATCCCTTCTCCTCCATTCTCCTCTTGGTATCTTAGGCACGCACACACACACGTGCCCGGCATGAGTTTAAGCCCGGACTCAGTCCACAGTCAACTACATGGGAGGTCCAGTGACGTAGCCATTACGTCAACTGCTGGTTCCCCCACAGACTGATTTTTAAAATGTACTTTTGGTATGGTGGTTAAAATGTCTGGATACATCACGGTTGAGTCTGTGGTTTGAGTCCCAGACCCAGAGGCTTGAAAAATATGCCAGGAGAATATGCATGCCAGCCCAAAATCCCAAGAGGAGAGTGAAGAAAGCAGACTGTGATGTGGCCATCTCTCCAACAACCCCCACTGGGGCAGTGATTTCTCTCTCTCTCTCTCTCTCTCTCTCTATCTGTGCCTCTCTCTCTGGAGAATGCACACATCACATGGCAAAAAAGCTTTTAAAAAATATACCTATTCTCAAGATTTTCAGAATCCAAGGTTAAGCGATCACTGAAACTCCTAAAAGATTTAAGATGCTAATATGGGGCCAACAGGTGGCATGGTGGTTAAGGTGCTGGATTCCCCCATGGCCGAATGCAGTCTGAGTTCTGGACCTGGCAGCTTGAAAATTACATCAGGTGTTTGTGCATGCATGCCCAAAATCCCAAGAGGAGAAGGAAGAAGAGATTATGGTGTGGCCATGCCCCCTCGGGGGTAATGTCTCATTTTCCCTCTCTTTTTCTGGGGAGTGCACGTGCCCTATGGCAAAAACCTTAAGAAAAAAAAATTTTTAAGGGAACAAAACGAATGATGTAACTCTTCCCAGGGGTTTAACAGTGTTTAGTTTTCATTAGCATCAGTCTATTTGATCTTTACAATAGTCCTAGGAAGTGGGACAAATATTTTCCTTCTTTCCCTTTCACAAGGCTCAGAACTAATTTACCTGCCCAAGGTAACAACACAATTAAGGAACAGAATCAGAACTAGAATGTGAATCTTAGAACTCCTAGTCCAATGTTGGCAAGGGTGGGAGGAAACGGGAATACTTTGGGTGGGAATGTAGCCATTGTGGAAAACACTATAGAGGGTCCTACAGAAATATAAATTAAAAATAGAACTACTGTATAACCCAACTATCCCTCTTCTGTGTATAAACCCAAAGGAGATGAAATCATCGTCTCATAAAGATATCTGCCTTTCCATGCTCATTACAACATTATTCCCAATAGCCAAGGTATGGGAACAAACTAAATGCCACCAATATATAAATGGGTAAAGAAACGTGGCGTGTACATATCCATACACAACAGAGTACTATTCAGCCTTACCAAAGAGATCCTACCATTTGTCACAACATGGATGGACCTTAAAGACTAAGTAAACTAAGCCAGTCACAGAAAGAAAAGTGTTGCCTGATCTCACTTTTATGTACAATGTTTTTTTTAAAAGGAGGGGAAATACAGAGATAGAGAATGAAACAGTGATTGCCAGGGGGCATAGAAGGAAGAGGAAATTGAGAAAAGTAGGTCAAAGAATACAAAGTAGCAGGTAAGTCAGATGAAAAATGTAGAGATCAATGCACATGAAAACTAAAGTTGATAAAATTATATTAGGGATTTTTGTTGAATAAAATTTTAGCTCTACTTGTCACAAAAAAAATAACTGTGATATGATGGGTATGTTAACCATTGTACCATCTATATGTATCCTATAACATCATTTATAACCTCAAATATACACAAAAATTGTTTTATTTTAAAAGAAAAAAAATTTGTCATCCAGAGCCCTTCCTCCTAGTCGTACCATCTTTAGGCACTATTTTAGTAAAGGGCAAAATGAAAAATAGGAAGAACAAGAAGGAATTGCTGAAGACACAATAAAACTGGGGCAGGAAGAAAGAGAACCCAAGGGCTTGCAGAGATGCCTCAAGAGCTCAGCGAGCAGCAAATCACAGTGAAGATAAAGACCTAGTGACTGCTGGTGGCTGGAGGTTAACGAAAAATGCAGGATAAGAAATATAAAAGACCAATTAAATAAAGAGAAAATAAATACAAAGAAACATAAGAGAGAAAATAAAAACGCTAGCGTTTACCTATAATAAATCTTTTATTACTGTTATTTCAAAATGTTTACCAGTTCTAAAATTTCTATAGGTTTTCTAAAGAGTGACTTATAGAAAGAAGTCACTCTAGACAAGAAAGAAGACACATTTCCCCACTTTTTAGTGGATAAATAGATGAAAACTTAAGCTTTTTCAAAACCTTTTTTTTTTTTAATTTGCTATAGGACATATGTACTCACCAGAGGAAGAGAAAGAAAAAGAGGAAAGCGAGAAAGCACCCTCCATAAGGCACAGCCACACCACAAATCCTTCTGCATTTCTCCTTTCAGGATTTTGGGCATGCACACATGCACATGTGCCTGGTGTGTTTTTCAAAATGCCCACCACGAGACTCAAACTGTGTGGATGGACGTGTAGATTTCAGCTGCTTTAACCACCACACCACTGGTTGGCCCAAGATTTTAATTTCTTCTTCTTATATCTTATTCCAAACCACTCCCCTACTTTCAGGTCCTGGTCCTAGGCCCTTGACACCTTTGCCTCACTCTGCCTGCCCTATAGAACACTGGATGGAATACCTCCCAGGTAACCTGTCCTTCTGCTGGATGCTCAGAATTGGATTCTGTCTGGACCAAGGATACCTACTCCCACAGCTGGTGAGCCTACATCCAGAAAGGAAAGTCCTCACACAGAGGGCCAGGAGGGCAGAGCAGGGTTGGCTGACAATAACCTCTGAGTACGGGGAGGGAAAACAAGAGCCTGGTGTTGGCTTTGTGACCACATGTTTATTTCTTCTCACAAACTATTAACACACAAAACCACCACTCTTGGTTTAATGGAAAACTAACACATAGGAATTGAGTAAGTCATGGCAAAAACCTTGACACTACTGACTGCAGCCTATCTTAGGTGAGGAAATTGAAAGCCAAAGAAATTAAAAAGAATTGTCCAAAGACACAGACCTCATAGAAATAACCTGAGCTTACACACAGAACTTTTGAATCCAAGTCCAAACAAGAAGGCATAACACACACATTCACTTTAAAATGTGTTTTAGCTTTCTTCTATACTGTATATACTAAAAGATTCTATTTTACATGAACAGTAAAATTTCAAGACATTTTTTCCATTTTCAGAAATTAGTCCCTTTCCGACCTCAGCATTGGCTCCTCATGTCTGTCATTTGTGTTACACTTATCCTAAGGAGTCTACCTAACACTCAGCATTCTCTCAAATCATCCTCTCTTCCTGATCTCCTTTTCAGATTTCTCTGGATCCATCTCCAAACTTCCCCCCAGTGATGTCTCTCTCCTACATCCTTCACCCTCCTACAATCTTCTCATCCCCTAGGACTGGTAAGCTCAACATTTCCCTTCTGGTTCTACCCACCTCTGCCCCTTCATCAGACATCCTGAGACTTCCAATTTTGGTCCTCCACTTCCACCTGTGCCCCTCCCTCTGCCCCCAGGAATGGTTCACCCTTACCATTGGGTACTCTTACCTTTACAGGCCACGCCCCTCCCTGAGAACCCTTCCTCCAAATCCCATCCACTTACACACAATCCTCCCAGCCTAGATCCCTGCCTCTCCTTTACCCTCATTAAGTCATAACATTAATGACTTCAGGGGGTGGAGGAGTGGAGAAGAGCAGCCCTACTTTTAAAATCAGATGGACTCAGCAATTTCATCCCTGAAAAACGGAAGAAAAGCCACCTGTGTACATCATAAAGCACATACAAGACTTTACTACAACAGGATTCACAATCACCAAAAACTGGAAGCAGTCAAATCAGCCATGGAATGGGGTTTTACACAATGACTTACTATAACACAATGAAAATTAACAAACCACTGCCACACACAACACAGATGAATCTCAGAAACATGTCCCACACAGTCAGATGCAACATTACAGGCTCTCATTAGAGTGCTAAAACAAGCAAAACTCATCTGTGGTGTTAAGACCAGGGCTGGGATTACTTCTGAGAAGAAGGGTGAGGCCCTGATTGGGAAGAAACATGAGGGGATATCTGGAGTGCTAGTAATGTATTTCTTGACTTAGGTGGTGGTTACATTATTCATTTTGGGAAAATTCATGAACTGTACATGTACGGTTTATGCACTTTTCTGTGTGTCATACTTCGATAAAAAACTTATTTTAAAAACACACAAAGGGGCCAACAGGTGGCATGGTGGTTAAGGCGCTGAACTCCCACAGGGTCAAACACAGTTCAACCCAGTGGTTTGAAAAATCACACCAGGCATATGTGTGTGTGTGTGTGTGTGTGTGTGTGTGTGTGTGTGTGTGCCCAAAAGCCCAAGAGGAGGATGGAGGAAAAGAGACTATAGCATGGCCAGCCCCTCTCGGGGGTGATTTCTTACTTTCTCTGTCTCTTTCCGGCAAACTGGAAAAACCTTAAAATACACACATACACACATACACACACACACACACAAACACACACACCCACACACACACACACACACACACACACACAGAGCCAGCAGATGGCATAGTGCTTAAGGTGCTACTCTCACATGGTCAAACCATGGTTCAAGTCCCAGACCTGGTGACTTGAAAATCATGCCAGGCACATATGCGTGTAAACCCAAAATCCCGGGAGGAGAATGGAGAAGGGACTACAGCGTGGCCATCCTCCCAGGGGGTGATTTCTCACAATCCCTCTCTGTCTCTCTCTGGAGAGTGCAAGCTTCCCATGGCAAAAACCTTAAAACAAAACACAAACACGTACAATCAGGCACAAGGGATAGGGTAAACAGAAATGTCTGAAACTGGATTGTGGTGAGGTTGCCTAAGTCTCAATTCAATTCAATGAACACTGAATTATACATTTACAATGAGTCCATTTCATGGCACATAAAATTAAATCCTGATATGTAAATCAAGGAAGGCAAGGATTGCTTGTGAAGATTACATGTTTATCTCCTGATATACAAAAGGGCTCAAAAAATACTTGTTGAATGGAAAAAATAAAAATGGACACCACCAAAATACAATTCTTAAGAGATGAAAAAACATCTTATCCAGATATAGCATAGAACTAAAGGCCCTAATTTCTGACTTTTTCTATATTTTGCTTCTCTAACATAATAGTGATTAAGAGCACAGACACTGGGTTCGAATCCTGGCTCTACTACTAACTAACTGTATGACCCTGAGCGAGTTATTCTTTGTGCTGCAGTCTCGTTACCTGTAAAATGGAGATTATAGTAAAAACAGTACCTACCCCACTGGATTACTGCAAAGATTGAATGTGTAACTCTTCATTTGGTAAGCACTATATAAAATGTTCGGGAAACAAAAAGAAATTTTAAAACGTTCCTTCTCCTGGGGACCAGTAGTTGGCATAATGGCTATGTCGCTGGACTCCCATGTAGTCAACCGCATTCAAGTCCCAAACTCAGTGGCTTAAACTCACGCCGGGCGCATGTGCGTGCGTGCCCAAGATCCCAAGAGGAGAATGGAGGACAAGGGAATGAGGTGTGGCCATCCCCCCTAGGGGGTGATTTCTCGCTTTCTGTCTCTCTGTCTTTCCAGCGAGTGCAGACGCCCTATAGCAAAACCTTCTCAAAAAGAAAAAAGTTCTTTCTCCTGAAAAGAAGGTAGACCTAAGTCTTTGAGAGGGAAGGATAGTTTTTTTTCTTTTTAGTGCTTTACCTGATGAAATGTGTACTTGAACAAAAGCGTCAAAAACTCCACCACAGGGAACTGGGAGTAGGACTCAATTCTTCTTAGGTGAACACTCACAAAGAGCCGCAGAAAGTCAGTGAACTTCTCAATGTAGCTAAATTAGACAAGAAAACAAAGGTGACCATAAGAAACCCATCCTCCTCTTCAGAAGAGAACTTAAATTCAATCCAAATTTCTTTCAGTATAGACTATACAAATATATATTTTCAGTTAAAATATAAAGGCCTGTAACAATTACCTACAGGACAGGCAACCCTTCATTCCATTACCACCTGAAACACAGCAGAAAAGCAACTTTAATCCTCAGACACTATCCACCACTATGGCTTCTTATATGCTAGTGCTCTTAGATCTCCTAACTCCTCAGTGTTATGAACCAATTAAAATGAAACAAACAAACAAAAAAAAAAGGTGCTAAAAAGTTGATGTGCAGATCACTGGGTCATTTTAGCCTAGTAAATCTAGAAGGCTTGTATGCTTTGTCAGAGACCAAAATAATAAAATCAATGTGCTAAAGACACAAAAACAAATCAAGTCTATGCAAAGGGTAAGGCATCCAGGTAAAAAATATTCAAGCTTGCAACCTAATGTCATCCCCCAGCTCTTGGTGCTATTGGGTCGTTGGCAAAGTCAAGATGCATTTTTGCATAGAAAAAAATGTCATGAATTTCCCAACAACCTAATAATTAAAAACAGCGTATCCCAATCCACTCTAAAAGTGATTTCAAATAGGAGAGGAAGGCTGTTAGAGCTGGCCAAGCCTCAGGGATCATCTAGTCTGATGCTTCCATTTTAGAGATGAGCCCTAGAGAGATAAAAAGTGACCAGCCCAGGGTCACCCAGCCAGCTCATGGCAACACAGGAATATCATCCATTCCTAATCCAGAGTTCTTTCTTTTCACATCACAATGAATCCCCAATTCATTTGCATTCACAAAATCAATTCACAGAAGAGTGTAGGTCACAGCTGCAAGGATAAGAGATTTCTGTTATTAAATACACAGCACGTCATCACTCTCACATTTCAGAAACTGTCATTTTAAGCCCCTCAATACCAAAAGGTGACTAGAAAATGAGATGGACATACCTTTATAAATCACATTTCAGAGACCAACAAAAAGGGCAAAGACATACTAGGCCTAGCTGAAAATTAAATAATGGCTAAAACCAATCCTAAACTCCTTAACCGCAAATAGCTATTTTTTAAAGCAAAGATACGTGATAAGTGAAATACAAAAGGGAAGAAGGCGATTACTCCTGAGAAAAACAAAGCCGGCCCAGAAATAAAATGTCCCATATTGGACCTAGCTCCCTGAGGGTTGTCAACCTGCTTATGTGACCTCTACATAGCAGACTCACTCTTTTGTGAGTTATGTGCAGCTTTTTTTTTTTTTTTCCGCTATAGGGCACGTGCGCTCGCCAGACAGACAGAGAGAGACATAGAGACAGAAAGCGAGAAATCACCCCCCAGGGGGGATGGTCACGCCGCAATCCCTTCTCCTCCATTCTCCTCTCGGGATCTTGGGCACACACGCACACGCGCCCGGCGTGAGTTTTAAGCCACCGGGTCCGGGACGCGAACCACGGTCAACTACGTGGGAGTCCAGCAACATAGCCATTACACTAACTGCTGGTTCCCATGTGCAGCTTTTTAAAAAATACATTAATTTGTTTTGATTAGCATAGCAGAATGGGTGTGTCTGTGGCCAAATAATCAAAAAACAATACAGGGTGGGCTAAAAATCAATTGTTTTTAGAGATAAGAAAGTAGAAAAAGAATGCTCTCTGATGTCTTCAATCACTAATACGCAAGAGTAGAAACTCCCCATACCTCATTCAGTTCATTTATTAATTATATATATTCAAAGCTGTAACCAGTTTACTACTGTTTAGGAAATGCACTCAATTCCCTATCACACATTAAAGACAAAGAAAAGTCATGGGTAAAATATTGAGCAATCTCAATTTTATGTTAATCTCTAACTCAATTTTTAAAAAATACAAACAAGGCTGTTGAGTAGCTAAAAGTTTGGTTTTATTTCACCTCATTTTCTTGAGCTTGCCCACCTTCTGGTACAGGTGCTAATGAACAGTAGAAAGTTAGAAAAAAGGCAGTGGAGGAAAAGAGAAGCCAAGGACCTGGTTAAGCAGCTCCTAGTCAACTGAGAATGGACTGAGCTGTTTAGAATTAGTGGTAAGGGGTCCAAGAACCAGGAAGCAAGCACACAGTATTATTAATGTCACCTTTCTGCTTCCAGGCACCTCTCAGCTCTCACAGGGCAATAGGAAGCATAGGATTAAAATATAAAACCAAGAGCACAAAAGTTACATGTAATAAAATCAGCATACAGATAATCCATGTGACAATTCTACACCATCTGAATTTAAGCCATAACAAAGTACCTGTGAATACTTATGCTTAAAGTAATAGTCAAAACAACTTATGTTGATGGTGGGTACAGTAGATACAGATTTTTTTTTATTATAGCTTTTTAAACCAAAGCTAGAAAGGATATAAAATTATGTCTTTTAATGAATATAGAAAGCTATTATATGAAAAAAGGACCATGTCAGTCTACGAGTCCTTTTGTGATTATACCAAGCAAATGTCACAAGAACCTTGTTTACAATGAACTAAACCAAAATAATCTTATGTATCAATTTTTTAACTTTGGAAAAATGTAATAAAACTGCCCAATTTTAAAGGCACTAAAACATCCTTAACCTTAGGCACATGACTGTTTGTTCTACTACTTAAAGAAAAGGAAACAAATAACTCTATTAACAAAAGGTACTCTAAGGAAAACTGATTAAAGTACTAACAACCTTAGTTGCCAGGCAATCTACAAAAATTTCCAAATTCAATAAACTGTATCTACTTGGAGGTTTCTGAATAAACAACATGATTGCTCATAATAAGAGTTTCCAGTTCCCCTGGTTTTATACAGCAGTAGCATCATGTCAAGGAAATCTATAAGATACACAAAGGACATCAACTGCAAAGGAACCACGCACCAGGACCCTGCCTAGGAGGACTGTGACGGAGTCATCTCCAGAGGGCTTTAGGATTATCCCAGGCTCCATTCAAGAGGACAATAGGAAGGAAACACGGGTGCATGCCCCATTCATCTGTGCCTATGTTAACATCTCTCCTATCTTTTGATGAAAACTCACCATTTGTGCAAAACTCACAATAACAACAACATTCCTGTATTTTGCAAGATGTTCACTTGGGAAAAGATTTCAAATAGTAAAAACTGAGAAGCAACGCCAAGTGAGAAAGGGCAATTATAACTCCTGTACCTCCAGGGACCTCTTCTGTTCTTGGCTATACATGAGCAGCAGTCTCAGTTCCTCACCAACTCAGACCTGCAGGCAAACAGTGAGGAAGAGGGGGAGGAGGAGCAGAAGGGAGGACAGAAGATGGATGGGGAAAAAGACAACAAACCTACACAATCCACAGTCACTTTCCAAACTCAACGCATTTCCCTTAACCACCCTAGCCCTTCCAGCTAGCTCAGACTTACTGGTACACACCTACCTCTCTGTTCCTCATCAGGGGCCCCACACTCTGAAATCAAAGAGGATTACAGACACTATGGGGCAAAGCATGACAATAAAGGCCCTTTTCCTCAAGGCACCACCGACTCCACAGTGTTTTCATTACCTCTCATCAAGCTCTTCTAGCCTGCTCTTCACTGTGTGGGCATTGTTATCCTTGGTGATTTTCTGCAGGAGGTAGAAAGTCTGCTGGAACATACGCAGTAAATACTCCTCAAATTCCATAGGCACACAGTTCTTAGACATGAGTTCATTGATGCAGGACATGGCCAGGACCCCAAGCCGGCCGCGCTCCTGAGTCAAGACACAGTTCTGGCTGCTGCCGTTAACTGATGCCATCTTTCTGGCCCGGATGTCACAACCAAAGCGTGCAAAATGGAAGATGGTGGTAAGGAGGGACGGGGTGATGCTGGCAGACAGAGGAATCCAACTGAAGAGATGGGCCAGGCATTCCAAGGCCAGGGAACAGATATACTCACTCTCCGCATCAAGGACAGGGATTGGCTGATTTAACAGTTTGGCTGAGCTAGGACTCTGCAACAGGTTACTCAGTAAGTCACCTGAAAATTACAAAAAAAAAAAAAAAAAAAAAA